ATTACTAATAAATAGATATATTTGCAAAAGTTTGAATTAGCCGTGGTGGTTGGAACTTTTTTATTTTTTGATTAACCTGGATATTCAATTCGTTATGCGAGCTGACTAATTTCAGGACGACCATCTGTTTTGTGAGTAGGTTGGAATCACCGTATTTGAACCTCCATGGCCACAAAGGTGTCTTTTATTTCTCATTGGATCTGATTCTAAGATTTTCGAACACTTTTATTCTTTGGAGCTCAAATTCAAACCAATCAAACAACACTTTTGGTAGTTGGGACTTTAACATCAAATGAAAATCACATGCACTCATTTTATTTATATCTATGCTATCTTATTAAGCAAACTTAGTAAAAGTCTTAAAGTCTTAAAATTTTAAATGACCAAAATACCATTTATACTTACTTTTTCACTTTTTCACCCCCTTCTCTCCTCATATACACTCACCCCCTCACGTACACTCACCTTCATTTTTTTAAATTGTAATTTTAAATTTACACTTTATACCCCTATAATTAATTAATTAATTAGTTAATTTAATTTATGTCATTTACTTTTAAATGTTTTATTTTAAACCTTTATCAAATTAACATACATAATCGTATATCAATTAAAATATGTTTAGAAAATACATTTTTATTTTAACAAGTTACACCATTAAAATCGTCTCGTTAATACCTTCGAAATGAGTCCAATATTGAATAGTTTTTTACTTAATTATATTATTATATATTATATATACCGTGAAAAAATATTTTTTAATATTTACGATTTATACTTTTATAGTTATTTAATTATATATATATATATATATTATATTTTGGGGTTAGACTGTCCAAATTGCACTGTATAATATGTTTTAAATTAATATGTTCTTGGGTTTTTTTGAAATATATATATACATGTATTAATTCAACCTTAATCTAAGTTTCTGGACAAAAAAAAAGATAAACAGTTGAAATTTCATTCTAAAACCCATCTTTTTTTGTCTTTTCATGGCTTATGATCTGTCAAATTTATAGTTTTCTTTATTGGTTTTGAGTGTTTATCTTAAAACTCAAGTTTCTTGGTTCTTTG